GCATCATCTGCAACAGCAGCATCTCCTCCTACTCCCATCCTCCCCCTCTACGTTGTCATCCTCGATATCTTTGTCATCCTCCCCCTCTACGTTGTCATCCTCCCCCATATCCTCAATATCGTTGTCATCCTCCTCCTCCTCCTCCTCATCCCCCTCTGCATTTTGACCTCGTCCAGCTTTCTCCACCTCCATCCCTTTGCATTAGAGCAGAGATAACTTCGCCCTGTCGCACGACCTGTCGCCAGGACGGTCCAGGCGTCGTGCCCCAGACTCCCTCACCGCCTATGACCATGAAGCTTGAAATTCCAAGCGTCTCAAGGATGGATGGCGGATACTTTTTCAACATGGGGATCTCGCCTGAATGCTGCGACAGCTTTCGCTCAAAAGGCGTGCAAATAGGGCAACTACCAGGACGGAGGCGGATCCTTTGAAACTGCAGCTCTCAACTTAACGCCGCGCGCGTCGTCTCAAAAGCATGCAGTGGTTATGAGGATAATGTGCAGTTGCAACTGGTGTCTCGCCGTATCGCCGCCCCAACATGTCGTCCTAGAACCATGCAACTGCTATCAGGAGGTTCGAAATGGGACTCCCGCCTAAGCGCGGCGAGAAATTTCGTCGCACAAACTTGCAACATCAACAAATATGGATGGCGCACACTGGTCTGTAAAGTTGGCAAAAGAAAAAAGGATGGAGCGCTGTTCTGTGTCAACATTGGGCTCCCGCTTGAAATTCGACACGCTTACTAACAGAAGCGTGAGCATGGAGGGCGGATCCTGCTCTACACCGGACCCTGAGCCTGATACGTCCACAAGTTATGGCCAGAAGCGTGAAAGTGCGCTTAAACACACGGCTAGGGGACGGCTCCTTTTCAAAACGGGGCTATCCTTGGACACTTCGTTGGCCTGTATGGCTGTACTCTTTTCAAATTTCCGATCCTTCGTTTGGAGGCCGCGAGGCAATTCCTTTTCAAAACGTGCCTCTCGCGTGAATGGCAGGCCCATGGGCTGCTCGTCTTTCAGAGGGCAGCTTCTCTGAATAAGCAGGAACGCCGTGGACTGCGGCATCATTGGTTCATCCGGGCTTTCTCTGGACATCACCCTTCTTCTACGGTCAGGAGCGTTAGCTTGGCGTGTCTCGGCGCCCCCCCCCCGACACGCTTCGCCCGGCAAGCGGATAGCTTGTCGCTGGGAGGTGGACGTCTGGGAATTGGAACGCGGCTGGCGTGCCGCGCCGGAGCGTGGTGGGCCCAAACAGGCGGCGCGACATGCTAAGCAACCAATCCTGACTGACATCATATCTGTCCACCTGCTCATGCCCCACCCGCGCATTATTATCTTCCGCCCGTTTCCAGCTGTGGATCACGAGAACGCCGCCACCGCGGCGGCGCTCAGGTCGGACATCCGAGCCAGCACCGCGTCCGCCCGCTGTATCCACACCTGCTTGAGCGTGTTGATCTTCGTGAAATCCAGATGCAGCAGCCTCTCCTGCATCATGCTCACATCGGGCAGGTCTCCCTTGCAGGAGGGCGCCGGCTGGCGCCACAGACGGCCCGGCCCCAGCCAGGCCCACCGTGGGCCCAGGGTCGATGAGTGGTCGCCCTCCTGGCTTTAGAAGAAGGTTAGCCAGCGTGGACCCCAAACAGTATGTTCTAGCAATCGATGTTGTGCAGTCGAGGTGGTGGAATGATTACATGTTGTGTGATCTGCGAGTGCAATATACGTGGCGCAATCTATGTGGTGGAATCGGCTGTGCAATGTATGTTCTGCAGCCTGTGTTGTGCAATGTGTTGTGCAACATATGTGGCTCAATCTATGTAGTGCAATACATGTCGTACAAGCTACGTCATGCAATCTACGTGATGTAATGTATAGGTGAACCAATCGTGTCAGGCAGTATATATATATATATGTATATATACATATATATATATATATATATATATATATTGTGCAACCCATGTAGTGCAATCTACGTGGTGCAACATGTGCTGCGCAACCCGCCACCGTGCCGCTGGGCACGGCATGGGCGTGTCCTCCGCGCCCTCGCCGAGCCCCCCCCGAGCCTCCGCCCCCTCCCTCCTGCGCGGACGCCCAGGGGCCCCCAAGACCCCCAGACTCTCAGCTCTCCCGGGGGCTTCGCGCGTGCCCCGGGGCTGCTCCGGGCACCGCTGCCGGGGGACTCTTCCGGGCCCCAGGCGGGGGGCCCAAAAGACGGGCCCCAGGCGGGCCCCAGGAGTCCCCCGAGACGGCCCAGCGAGGCCCCGAGCCGCCGAAAGCTTGCCCCAGTACGCCCAGGATGGCTTCGATGCGGCCCAAGAAGCCCCAAGAATGCTCCAAGAGGCGTCCCAAGAGGTCGCCAAGAGGCAAAAAACAACTGATTTCCGGTATGCTTTTGGAAGTGTTTGGCCTTCTCGTCTGTTCGGCTTTCCGACGCTCCAAGGTAGCCCAAAAGGCCCCCAAGACCGCCACAAGACAGCCCCAGAGGCCCCCGAGAGGGCCCTAAGACTGCCCAAGGGGTGCCCAAGACGGCCCAAGAGGGCCCCAAGACGGCCGCGAGAGGAGCCCAAGAGGGGGAACACGAACCGAAAATCCCAGTCTTCCGCCCCAAGAAACGCCCAGGAGGCACCAAGAGGCCCCCAAGCAGCCCCGAGAGGCCCCCAAGAGGACCCCACGAGGCACCCGAGATGACCAAAAGAGGCCCCCAAAGAGCCCCCCCCCAGAGGCATCCAAACTGCCTCCAGGAGGCCCCCGAGCGGCCTCGAGGAAATCCCAACGACCATCCAAGAGGCCTCAAACCCACAACCCAGGCACGGTGGCGGGATGGGCAGAAGGCCAGTAGATCCGCCGCCCCCTGTCGATTCATCGCAGGGGTGCCTGGCGTGCTAGACTGTTACGGTTTTGGTTCAGGTTCTTTTTCCACAAGAACTCCCCCTGGGGCTTCGGCCTGTCCCGCCGGCTGCCTGCCTCGTCGGTTTTTCCGCTCAAGATGGCCCAAGATGGCCTCCAAAATGCCTCCAAGAGGGCCAAGATGGCCTCCAAGACGGCTAAGATGGCCTCGAGACGCCTCCAAGACGGCCCAAGATGCACCCCAGACGGCCTAAGATAGCCTCAAGATGGCCCAAGACAGCCTAAGAGGCCTCCAGGAGGCCTCCAAGACGGCCGAAGACGGCCCAAGAGGCCTCCAAGAGGCCTCCAAGAGGTCCTCTCGGAGGGCCCGAAGAGGCCAAAATCCTTGATGTCCCTTAGGTGTTCGAAAGATTGTGGCATTCTCCGACGGCCCAAGACGGCCCAAGAGGCCCCCAAGATCGCCCCAAGATCCCCCACGAGGCCTCCAGGATGGCCCTATGACGGCCCAAGAGGCCCTTCAGACGGCCCCAAAACGGCCCCAAGAGGGCCCCAAGAGGGCCCAAGAGGCCTCCAAGACGCCCAAGATGGCCTCCAAGACGGCTAAGATGGCCCCAAGACGCCTCCAAGACGGCCCAAACTGCACCCAAGACGGCCGAAGATAGCCTCAAGATGGCCCTAGACAGCCTAAGAGGCCTCCAGGAGGCCTCCAAGACGGCCCAAGAGGCCTCTAAGAGGTCCTCTCGGAGGGCCCGAAGAGGCCAACATCAGCGATGTCCCTTAGGTGTTTGAAGGAGTTGGGCATCTGTTTCTCTTCGGCACTCCGACGGCCCAAGACGGCCCCAGGACGGCCCCCAATGTCGCCCACGATGCCTCCAAGATGGCCCCATGACGGCCCAAGATGCCTCCAAGACGGCCCCAAGAAGGCCCAAGGGGCCTCCAAGACGGCTAAAATGGCCTCCGAAACGGCTAAGATGGCCCCAAGATGCCTCCAAGACGGCCCAAGATGCACCCAAGACGGCCTAGAATTGCCTCAGGATGGCCCAGGACGACCCAAAAGGCCCCCAATTGGCCTCCAAGACGGCCCAAAAGACGTCCAAGAGGTTTTCCGGGAGGACACGACGAGGCCAAACTCGTTGGTGTTCCTACGGTTTTTTTTTTGAAAGATGTTGGCATGTGCTTCTTTTCGGCATTCCGACGCCTCAAGACGGCGCAAGAGGCCCCCAAGGTCGCACAAGAGGCCTACAATATGGCCCCATGACGGCCCAAAAGGGTTCCCAAGACGGCCCCAAAAAAGGCCCGAAAACGGCCCAAGACAAAATGGCCTCTAAGAACCACTGGTATGCCCCAGGAGGGCCCCAAGACGACCCAGAAAGGCCCCCAAGACGGCTTCCGACAGCGTGAGACAAGCCAGGGACGCCGGAAGAGGCCCCCATGAAGTTCCCAAGAGGCTCCAAGAGTGCCCCAAGAGGCGCCCAAGAGGCCTCCTTCTCCTCCTCCTCCTCCTCCTCCTCCTCCTCCTCCTCCTCCTCCTCCTCCTCCTCCTCCTCCTCCTCCTCCTCCTCCTCCTCCTCATCATCATCATCATCATCATCATCATCCTCCACCTTCTCTTCCTTTTGTCACAACCATCCTGTGGAGTTGGGTCCTCGTTTTGAAGAGACAGCGCCCCGCGTTCCTTCCTCCTCCCGTTGCCCCCTCCCTCCTCCTCGCATCATCGTTATCATCACCATCATCATCATCATCATCATCATCATCATCATCATCATCATCATCACCATCATCATCACCTTCACGAGGATCGCGACCCATAGGAGCTCCACCGAAAGCGCCAGTAGCAACGCGCGCATGGCGGCCTCGGGCCATTTCGGCACACACCCCACGAGGATCGTGGCCCAATAGGAGCTCCACCGAAGGCGCCAGTAGCAAAGTGCGCACGGCGGCCTCGGGCCATTTCGGCACACCCCTCACGAGGATCGTGGTCCCATAGGAGCTCCACCGAAGGCGCCAGTAGCAACGTGCGCGTGGCGGCCTCGGGCCATTTCGGCACACACCCCACGGGGATCGTGGCCCCATGGGAGCTCCACCGAAGGCGCCAATAGCAAAGTGCGCATGGCGGCCTCGGGCCATTGCGGCACACCCCTCACGAGGATGGTGGCCCCATAGGAGCTCCACCGACGGCGCCAGTCGCAAATTGCGCCTGGCGGCCCCAGGCCATGTCGGCACACCCCTCACGAGGATCGCCACCCATAGGAGCTCCACCGAAGGTCCCAGCGGCAGGGTTCCCATGACGGCCCCGGGCCATTTCGGCACACCCCTCACAAGGATCGTGGCTCCACCGAAGGCCCCAGCGGCAGGCTTCGCACGGCGGCTTCGGGCCATTTCGGCACACCCCTCGCGAGGATCGTGGCCGCGTAGGAAGCTCCACCGAAGGCGCCAGTGGCAGGGTTCGCATGGCGGCCTCGGGCCATGTCGGCACACACCCCACGAGGATCGTGGCTCCATAGGGAGCTCCACCGAAGGCCCCCAGTGGCAGGTTCGCACGGCGGCCTCGGGCCATTTCGGCACACCCCTCACGAGGATCGCGGCCCCATAGGGAGCGCCCCCAGTGGCAATGTTCCCATGGCGGCCCCGGGCCATTTCGGCACAGCCCTCACGAGATTCGTGGCCCCATAGTTGTGTTGCTTCAACAACCGCGCCTGGGCGTCGTACTCCCGCCTTCTCGACGTGCACCGACACCTTCTCCCTCATGGCTCTCAAAGCCCTCTCCTGCTTCTGCTCCTCGGTCAAAGGGGCGCCGTCCTTGTCGTCGTCGGCGCCCGCGAAGACGACCACGGACGTGTTCGTGAGCATGTCGGGCTCAGGCGGGAAGCCGTGGCCACATAGGGAGCGCGGGCGAAGATGGTATTCACAATTGCGGTATTCACAACTGCGTATGGTTATCTGGTTAGGTCCTTCGCCAAGCTAATTTCCTCATCCTCCCCCTCCTCCTCTTCTAGCTCCCTCATGCGTCGCCCGAAGTCTTTCCACACCGACTCGGGGAACAACTGGCCCGATAGCTTGGCCAAGCTCTGGCTCAGCTGTCGGCCACAGAGGCGCTTCCAAAGGGGCAGGGGGCGGCGGTGTTTCGCCGTAGGCGTCGTCGATCCGCCGCCCCCTGTTGATTCATCACAGGGGTGCCAGGCGTGCTGAACCCTTTCGATTTTTGTTCTTTTGGAAAACTCACTGGGGCTTCGGCCCGTCCCGCCGGCCACCCAAAAAACTCTTCCAGGGGTGGTTGCATCTTCCAGGGGTGGTTGCAAAGGTTTTGCCTGCAACAGGCGGCTCCAAGATGGCCTCCAAGTTCGCCCAAGATGGTGCAAGATGGCCTCCAAGCCAGTCCAAGAGAGTCCAAAACGCCTCCAAGTTCGCACAAGAAACTTCTAAGACGGACCAAGACGGCCCAAAAGGCCTCCAAGCGGCCTCCAAGACGGCCCAAGAGGCCTCCAAGAGGTCCTCCACGAGGGCCCGAAGAGGCACACATTAATGGTTTGCCTTTGCTTTTTGAAAGATGTTGGCTGTTGCTATTTTCCGGCCGTCCGACGGCTGACGACGGCTCAAGAGGGCCGAAAGATCGGCCCCAGAGCGCCCAAGAGGCCTCCAAGATGGCCCTGTGACGGCCCAAGAGACCT